TGTGTGTGTGTGTGTGTGTGTGTGTGTGTGTGTGTGTGTGTGTGTGTGTGTGTGTGTGTGTGTGTGTGTGTGTATACAGAAATGTGCTGATTCCAACTTGCTTGGTTCTGCTTCATTGATATCCCGCAGGAACGTCAGATAATGACGCGAGTGAAAATGAAGAGGAGGTAGGAGAATAAACATTTCTATCAAATGATCGAAATGAATATTTGGTTTGTTCTTTAATGTGACAAGATATTTTAATTTCATTCTCACAGAAGAAGTCATGCCATCGACAATTTGAGACACTGCTCAGCAGACTTCATCTTCAAGACAAACTCCAACTCAAGTTTTCAGTAGAAGATTTTTTTCAAATACGCCCACCTATAAAACTGCACCACATCACATCTGAGAAAGATCTAGCTCAGATGTTTCTCTATAGACTGATGATGTTAGACTACAGGGCCAGATGTATTCTTGTAAGAACAGACAGTCTTGAGATGGCCTATTTAAATCCCACAGTGTCTGAAATCACTGAGACGGATGACGGTGATTTAGAGGCTTTATTGAGAACAAGCGTAGACACGCATGAGAAAGAACAGACTCCTCTGCATCCAATGGATGTTCAGATGGCAGTATATCACTGCTCAGACAGCTTCCTTAAACAGATCATAATTGCAAAGCTCGCTCAGTGTCAGTATGCCTTACCTTTGCTTGTTCCTGACCCAGTATCAAAGGAGATTGTGTGTCCTTTGTGGACATTCAGACAAATAACAAAAAGCTGGAAGGTAACTCAAATCGAACCTGACTCACAAATTGTCACCATGAAGAACATCCCAGTCTACAAAGCTCAGACACCCTTGGTGTCATTTTTCCGCCTGGGTTCTTTGTCAGTGTCTAAATCTCAGCTGATGAACACTTTGCTCAACGATCGTCACAGCACCTTCTTCCACAGAAACTGCTTAGGAAGCACCAAGTCTCGCCATCTGATGGATGGTGTGGCAGAGATTGCCTGGTACTGTCCTGCTGGAAAACCCAATGATGCCTTCAATGACTGCATTGCCTTTTGTAATCTTCATGGTGATGCGCTGTCACTTCAAGAACAGCGTGAAATATTGATTGAAAAATCCTCCATCAATATTTTTCTTGTTGAAACTCTGCAGAAAAACAAAGAAAGTAGTTCTTTCATAGCAACTCTTTTTAAGTCCAAGAAGTCGCTCATTTGTGTCACTGTTGATGACTGCTATGATGTTAAGACAAAAAATGGAAAATACATTATCGGGCTCAAAGATAAAAACCAAGCGGATGTATCTGAACAGCTGAAAAAGATAATTAGAGAAGTTTTATCTTCTCCAGATGGTTCCAACTTGAAGCCATTTTTCCATCTTGAAACCATGGCTGAGCTCTCTGGAACCAGAGTGGATGAAAGTGACCCAGCCTGTCAAAGAGGGAAATCTGCTGCTTTGCAAATAATGAATCTGCTCACAAAAGACAACATGGATGTCTCGAAGATCAAAGATGAATTTCTTGCTGTTCAAGGGCAGCTCTGGTGTGACTGGTGCAAAATACACAAACAGCTGTTTCATCTTAGAGGAGAAATTGAAAAGGAGAGAAGTCAAAAGCAACAAGAACTGATGAGAATCCGTCAGAAACAATGTGCTGCTTCCTGCAGTAAACTGATGGAGCTGTTCATTGGAAGCCTCTCATCATTGCCACCAATAGACAAAGAATATTTCCTAAAATGGACTCAGATCTTAATAGATGCGCTCTCCACAAATTATCTTTCTTTGATTCTCAGAAGTTACAATACAACATGGTCTGAGGTCTTGGTTTTGAAAAGCAAACATGACAAATCAGATTTGCTATTGAGAAAACGGGCTGAGCTCGAAGGCATCTCCAAAAAACTGCAGTCTGCATCTTTTGGCTTGGAGCACATCTTCAGGGAAATGGGACAGCTCTATGAAGCCCATAGAGAAATACAGCAGGAGAGAAACAACACTGACTGGTCTAAATATCCTGAGCTGGCTGCACAGTTGATGATATCAGGATATCCAATGGAGCTGATGGATGGAGATGCAGGTCACGTGCCTTTAACGTGGATCTCCAGTCTTTTAGAGGAAGTCATCAAGAAACTGGGTGACCAGAGAGTTTTTGTGTTGTCAGTTTTAGGCCTACAAAGCAGTGGAAAATCAACAATGCTGAACACCATGTTTGGTTTGCAGTTTGCAGTAAGTGCTGGCAGGTGCACCAAAGGTGCCTTTATGCAACTGCTCAAAATATCAGAGGAGATGCAGAAAGACTTTCAGACCGACTATGTTCTAGTGGTGGACACTGAAGGACTCTGTGCTCTTGAGTTGGAAGGTAATGCCACTCCTCACCATGACAATGAACTGGCAACATTTGTTGTTGGTCTGGGAAACTTGACATTGATCAACATCTTTGGAGAGAATCCATCTGAGATGCAGGACATTCTGCAGATTGTTGTTCAGGCTTTCATGAGGATGAAGAAAGTTCATCTTTCTCCCAGTTGTGTGTTTGTTCACCAGAATGTTACAGATGTGGCAGCAGCAGAGAAAAACATGGATGGAAAGAGACGCCTGCAGGAAAAACTGGACCAGATGACCAAGCTAGCAGCTGAAGAGGAGGTTTGCGATGCAGAGTGCTTCAGTGATGTCATTGAATTTGATGTGCAAAAAGATGTGAAATACTGTGCCCAGCTATGGGAGGGCAGTCCACCCATGGCTCCTCCAAATCCAGGTTACAGTGAGAGCATCCAAGAACTAAAGGACGTCATCCTGTCTAAAGCTTCAAAGTCTGCTGGAATCACACTCTCTCAGTTCAAGACCAAAGTTGAGGACCTGTGGAATGCCCTTCTGAATGAAAGCTTTGTTTTCAGTTTTAAAAACACACTTGAAATCGCAGTATACAGAAAACTTGAGGTTCAGTATGGGAACTGGACCTGGGCCCTTAGAAGCAAGATGTTGACCACTGAAGAACAGCTTCATAACAGAATTGAAAATGGTGATCTTGACAAGGTTGAGAAGAAGTATCTTTTGGAGGAAACAAGCAAAACATTTAAAGAAATTAGGAAAGCGATAAAAACATACTTTGAGAGTGACAAGGATAAAGAAATGTTGACTCAGTGGAGAGGACGATTTGAAATCAAAATCAGTGAGTTTTATGATGAGCAGGTGAGCAGATTAAAAACAAAACTTGATGGAGTTATCCTCCAGAAGAAAGCATGTAAACAGTTGGATGATGATAAGACAGGCTTTGAGAACAAGCTGCTACAGAAGAGCAAAGAGCTCGCTCAGCAACTGAAGGATAAAGTCAGAGATGAAGAAGAGCTTAACAAACAGTTCAACTCTGTTTGGAGCGGCTGGATTACTGAATTAACAGCAGATACTAAAACAGTTGTAGACGTCAACTTGGAAGAAGATTATTGTACTATTCTTCAAGAACTCGGTTTTGAACTGGCTTTTGTAGATGAATCAAAAAGACGTGGGAGATACAAGAAAATATCTGAGATTGGTGATTATTCAGACTACCTGAAGACAAGTGGACCAAAATTTCTGGGGACTGTGGTAGATCTTTACAAAAAATATGCTTTCAGCAGTTCTTTCTCATTTAAAGAACAACAACAAATCAGATCGCTCATTGAAAAAGCTGAAAACGAGTCCCTTGGTGCACTGAAAAGTAAACCTGTAGTAACAAGAGGCTACACACCAACTTACTTGCATGAACTTGCCAAACATGTGAAAGATGAAGTCGAGAAATTTGTGTCAGAAAGGAAATTTGCTTTGAAGAAGGATTTTACAGTTGATCTCTTGCTGTATGTGTTCGACAGAGCAGAGACTTGGCTTCTCGAGTCCCATAAAAAATTCAAAATGAGGAATGATCCACTCACATATTTAGAAAGCAAGGAAGCACAGTTTTCCACAGTTTTTAGAAGCTTTTGCAAAGGAAACTCATCTGCTGTTGTCCTTGGAGAACTGATCTGTGAAAAGCTGAAAGCTTCCACTGTTGAGGCTCTCTACAACAGGACTGCCATTGATCTGGCTGACCAGATGAAGTGCAATTTCCCAGCATTCAGTGGCAACACTCTGGACTTGGAAAAACATATACTGAAGTCCCTCGCTGAGAAAGAAGTCTTTGATGATTTCATCACCTACATCAAGAACCCAGGGAAACATACAAAAGCTTTTATCGCAGCAGCAGTAGAGAAATACATCTTCAAAGATCACAAGGATGAAGCCATGAATTTACTTGAGAAAAACGTTCTTGACATCAACTCACTTGTTAGTCAAGCTTTATTTACTGCAACACATAAAGTCCAAACTCAGGGAGGAGAGGCAGACAGGTGGCTGAAGGAGTTTTCCAGTGCGCTAAATGATAAGCTTACTCTGGATCCCATTTGTTCTCAAAACTTCAGTGACATAAATGATTTTAACTTTCTGAAGGGAGAGATAGAGAAAGGATTTGCTGCCATCATTGTGCAGATGAGCACCATGTCACTGGAAAACTTGAAGGAATCCAGACTGAAGCCAGATGAAATCCTCACAGATCAGCTGTGTAAGCGTTGCTGGGTAAAGTGTCCATTCTGTTCCGCTGTTTGTATCAACACTATTGAAGATCACAGTCCCGATGACCACAGCGTCCCTTTCCATCGACCTAATGGGATCCAAGGATGGCACTACAAAGGCACAGTGGAGTTGTGCATCACTTTCTGCACAACAAACGTTTCGAGCGAAGGCAGGTTTTACCCTCATCATGATTCAGAGGAAAGCATTCCTTATAAACAATACAGAACTGCTGGCTCAAAGTATGCCACATGGAGAATCACTCCCGATGGGTCGAGACTATCGTACTGGAAATGGTTTGTGTGCCGATTTCAAAACACACTGGAAGAGCACTATAATCTAAAATTCCAGGGCAGAGGAGAGATTCCTGATGACTGGAAAAAAATCTCTAAAGAGGAAGCCATTAAAAGCCTTGATGAAATGTACTGCTAACTCAAACAAACTGAAGCCCTGGGCTAAATTATCTTTTCTTTTCACCTCAAAAACCCACCTAATATCTGAATTAACCACTGAAAAATTTTGTTTTAGGATTAATCAAGATTCCTACAACTAACCGGTGACAGTTGGTCAGGGGGTTTGCAGCGTAAACAAACGTTTGGCAGCCACATAAAGAAAATCACCTGCATTTAATAACTGTACACAGACCTTGTGTGTGTGTGTGTGTGTGTGTGTGTGTGTGTGTGTGTGTGTGTGTGTGTGTGTGTGTGT